GGGGTAGTTTGAGGAATGCGGGGTAGTATGAGGAACTGGCTATATCTCCTCACAAAGACACCGCATTGCAACGCGCTTTGAAGGGTTGATACATGCCAATGCCACCTTCTTTGTGTCAAAACGTCAGGTGTGTGCGACGAATAGTTCAGTTTTTAGAGCCAAAAAACGAAACGTTCCTCAAACTGCCCCGCTCTCCCCTACTCTGCAACTAATGCCAGGACTCACATTTAAAGACATAGTGACATCACATTTTTCCAAAATGAATGTAAGGGCGGCCACCAAAATCTTTAACAGCAGACTGGCCGCAGTCCTTAAATACCTGTCTGTCAGAGGGATTGTCCCTGAACAGTTCGAAACAACGGCCTGGTTCCTTTAATTGATGAACCGTTGGTTTCAACTTATGTGCTCCAGAAATTTACAGTTTGCTCTGGGGCACAGGAATGAGGCTGCTTATGAGGAGGCTATTGAGCACCTAGGACTAGTCATTTGTGTTTTCAGGCACTGTCAAATTCCTAGTGGGTGGAGACCATACCAATCTAACATTATTGTTGCAACTAAGGCCATGTTAGAAATTCAACGGCACCTTTTAGATGAAAAAAAATAAATACCAACTTATTCAAACTGCTGCTTTTTCCACAGATTGCAATGAGAATATAAATTCACAGGTCACATTGTCATGTCCCAATCCGACTCCTTTAGAGGCCAAAACTAGAATTAAACAAATAACTATTTCACAGTTTTCAATGGATATTAAATCCTCATCCTATGACTTTGATGGTTGTGAAGATTTTGTAGATATGCTTTTACGGCCTAACGAGCCAACTGAGCCATCATTTCATATTGACTTTGACTGGTCCACCATCAAATGGACAGACACTGTCCCAGTTAGTGCCGCCCATGAAAATGATGTATTGTACAGAATGTCTGGATATACATTATTAATACACTCAGGAAGAAAAACAATTAAAGTGTCAGTCCTGTGTGTCTGCATTAGAGCACCCTGATAAGGACCCTCATCCCAACTCTTTGCTTTTAAATCTGATGGACTTTATACCTGGGGCTCAGTTTGCTGTTATTGATGTCTTATTTCAAATGTTCAAGTTAATTGAATACAATTTACGAGAGTAGATTCCACTAATAAAGCATCTGGAGAGACTAGACTGTCTCATCCAATCAGTTGTGCAGCCCAGGCACAGCTCACATACAACTGCCAACCTGTCATGATGTGCAAGAAAAGTTAGTTAAAACTTTCACTATTATGAGGTTTTGGCAGTTGGCTGTGACTGAGCTCTCACCCGAGGAGAAGAACACTGCAAGTTCTTTGGCTAGTAAAACTACTGGTGGCCACTACCTTGCCTCTAATTTTGGAACACCAGTTAAACGTACACCCTTTCCAAAACAAACAAGTTATACTCCATCTCCACTCACCACACAACAGCAAAACCGACAAAATTATTCACCAGTCAATACTCCACAGCACAATCAGCAAAACAAAGAAACACCACTCAAAACTCCAAAACAAATTCTTCATTTGACACCTCCAGCTCTAGGCAATACTAATCACAGAGCATTGCCTTCTCCACAACAGCAACTCAATGTCCCTCTTGGTGTGGCCTCATCCTCTACTCCAATGCGCAAGCCACCAAATGTATTCCTTAAGCGTATCATTAATTTGCCTTGGTATTTTATGTTGTAATACTCTTTTTGTAGTGTTGTATTAAAGTCAAGATATTGTTCTATTTTAAGTCCACACCACACCACCCTTGAGTTAAAGTCCATACTTATAACTAAAGGAGCCAAGACCACGGGCAAGAAAGCTGAATTGGTGGACAGGCTGGTTGACTACAAATTAACCAATGACTTCAAGGTTGGGGGAGAAAGAGGAGTTTTAGCTGACCCACTTTTGGTACCAGATCTGAAGCTATTCAACGACATCCATGCTGACTCTCCTTTACCGGAGTTCAGTAAGGAATATATTACACTGTATTTAGCGCAGTACAATAGGACTATAAGCAGGTTACCTGCACTTTGTCCGATTCTGCAGTCACCTTCATCCATGGAAAAACACTGGCGGAAATGAGTAAGGCCTCCTAATATGTATCATTTATTAAAATTGCCAGTGATGGTGAAGTATTAGGCTGCACCTGTGAGTGTACTCATGGCAGCGCCTCCGGAGAGGCGCACTGTTAGCACGTCTCAGTCGTTATGCTTGGTGTTCAGGACTGTAAAAAGAATGGAGTTGTCACTACTGAGCAGACACGCACATAACAGCTTCAAGCCTTCCACTATCCCAGACGACAGTTCAGAAGTACGCCTGTGAGAGCCAAGGAAATGGGTTTAAAAAGATTAAAAATCAACCACCCTCCTGTTGTTCCTACTCTTCCTGCTGTTTGTGAGGAGTCCACTGAAGAGATTTATGATACTGGGGTACTTCCTCTCCCATTTTGCGATTTGAGCCCTCCTTTTACGACTTTTCTAATAGGAACGAAGATTGTGAAATTGATGCCTTGTAATGGATTTGTTCCTTGGTCCATTCCGGACATTTTAACACTAGGCTCGCCAAAATCGAGCCGACAGTTTCGGAGCTACGGCGAATCCCGCACAGCCCTGCTACAAGTGCTACAAGTTCGATACTATAATTAAAGACTTTGAATTTGCGCCAGATGATGTCGTACTTGTTATCACATCCATGCCGGGCACCAAGCTTCTGAAAGGTAAGTTTAAAGGCGATCTCACATTTTGCATCACTGATCACATTAGATAGAGAGATTGCGATAAATGTTTATGTAGATATCGTAATGAAGACATCCGGACACCTTTATTAACGAATAAATTTATTTCAGACAACCAGTGGCATGAAGCTTCGGGATGGGATAAAGTCATGCTGGAAAGTTGTAAGTTGCGGCTTTTGACGGAAACCCCATCGTTCGTCTACAACGAGTGCTGGCAAAAATGAGGAGCTGACCCCAGACTGCCGAGACCAGGACCCCTGCAAACTCTGCATGACCTGAGTAGCAAGATGAAAAGAAGAGATGACCTTCACAAGGGTGAACATTTGGATTTTTTTGAGAGGAAAAGGCAAGAGGGCGGTGAAACATTCCATTACGGTAGGCCAAGTTTATTTCAGGTGAGTGCAATGTGTAAAACTCTATTTCAATGGCTCAATGATATTCCATCTGAATAAGTGCACAATGTTACAATTGTTTTTGTGAGTACCTCTCGCCTGGTGGGTGTGCAGGGAGGGGGGGGGGCGCTTCTCATTACCTTCCCCACCCCCTCGCCTGCTGCACTCCTGACCCAGGCAGCTGGAGTAGAATGGGTTGCCTATTGCGCTAGGCGTTGTCCTCATTGTGTGTGCTGTTCCATAACTTTCCTATATTCTGCCAACAGCACGTTTGGCCGTCGGAAAAACAGATGGCACTGCTGGATGAACAGGCATCAGGCGGAACGGCCTATCTGGACAGCACACGTGGTCTTATCCGGAACGCACCCCCTGGGCGAGAAGGTGAACTGCCCCGCCCCGTGTTCTACGCTGCGTTATCGGTGAAGCCAGTTGTCGGCCATCACAGTGTTCCTGTGTCGCAGATGATGACAACTTCACAGAGTGCTGCGACTTGCTGCAACTGGCTTCTACATCTGAGGTGTCAGTGGAACCAGAAATGGAGCGGGGCGGCGGGCCGCCTGTTTAAGACCGTCGTGATTGATGACAGCTGGTAAATAAGTACAACAAAGTAATAATATTTGATGGAATAACAATCTTTATTCGTTTCTAGACAAAAAAAAAGTGTTTGCTGGGCTTATATACACTCGGTACTTATCCGCTTCAACCACGAAAATGTTACATCGTTCCTGACTCGGTGCTTTAAGGAAGAGGGCCGGAATGGTTATTTTTCTGCCTCTTTTAACTCCCTGACGGTGCTATATGTGCTTATCACGCCTTGCGACGTGTGCGCAGCTATGTAGCCCGGAGAAACACTCCTTACGAAGTCTCCAAGCTGGCTGTAACCGCTTAAGCTTAATTTAGAAATTTTGAGTGACCCAACATAAAATAATTATATTTTGGTTGATTCTTTCAGATGGTTGCATTGTATAAGGAATTGAAGATTAGAAAAAAGTACCACAAGAGAATTGATACTTGGCTAAGTAGTTTTAAATCTACTTATGGAAAGTCAAAGTCAGGTGACAGCCCATTTGTGGGCCATATCGCTCAATTAGTGTGTGGGGAACAGGTTCTCGCTACACACACTGTGACAGGAAAAATGTCAAATGTTTTTAAATCTGACACATCAAAAGTGCCTAAATTAGGACCCGCAGATCCACCTTTAGAGAAATCCATGGTGGAGACAATCTCTAGTGAGTAATTTCATGAATCAAACTGAGGTTAAATTGTGTTGTGCGGTACATCCAGCATTTCTAACACTGTCTTTATCTTTTGTTTGACTCTTATCCAGCTGTTTTCAGAATGAGGCTGATGCAGGAATTTAAGCAGAAGTGCCACCGCAGGAGAAACTAGATCAAAGCTCAGCCTTGAGGAAAGATTAAAATTTTTCAATAAATATATAGGAGACAAACGGACAACTATTCTGAGAAGATTGAAGAAGGCGGCATAGGGAGCGACAGAAGCTGTGGTGTGATGCGAGACTTACATGAAGATTCCTAAAAGATTCGTATTTTTGCTTATCATTCAGTCAAGTAGTGGAATAGATGTTCATGTAAGTGGCATGCTGTTTACCCTGTCTCTTTTGATTGCAGAGTCTTCGTGAAGCTACACAAATACATTTAAGCACGGCAAAAGAATTCTTACAGTGCCATGCCTACGTAATATTTTGTGGCGATTTAAGTTTCTCTTCAGTAGTTTCATATATTTTATTGCTCCGTTTCTTATTCTATACTAATAAAAATCTATCACGTTAATTTTGTTGTCTATAAAAATCAAACCCTAAACCCATACATGCGTACCATTTGGGGGGGGCGGGGCTGCGCCGATGGGGCTGCGCCGATAGGGCCCCGACGATAGGGCCCCGACGACAGGGCTCTATCGTGACGATAGGAATGACGACACACTATCACCAAATTCCGATAGGATCCTGTCGCCACGATAGAAATCTCAACCGTCGCGATAGGAGCCTATAGCCTCGCCTATCGTCAGCCTATCGTCAACGTCAATCGTCAGCTCTATCGTCAATGTGTATCGGCGTTTCTCTAGGGTTACCGCGCGCTTCTCCGCAACAACAGTTTATCTGAGGCGGAGAAGGTGGTGAAGCGCATGGCGGCCGTGTTCGGCCGTAAAAAGCAATCTGACAGTGTTGAAAGAGCTGTAAAAAGAATTAGAGGCCATTCAAGAGCAGCACGTCGAACGCACGATTGGTGGAGACCCTGCTTCTCGGGTGGACGAGCCCGACCCGCTGCCTGAGGTTAGTTACATATTTGGAGCTGAAAAAAGTGGGGGGGATTATTTGAATTCTGTATAAATTCATGTATTTTTCTACTTTTGCAGGAAATGCAAATCACACCCGAGAACCGGCCAGGAGAGAATGAAATTCATTCGGGCCCACTTCCAGGGAAGTCCCTGTATGCCTCAAGCCCATATTACCGCCATTTGCACCCCATCGAGGAGGCAGCACGGGACGGGTCGGATGCTACAGTCTCTAGAAGCTAGTACCACATTAACAAGTTTGTCGAGTACCGCGAGGCCCAGCATCTGGCCTACCTACCGATGCTAAATCGCACGTTTGTGGAGGATGAGGCCAGCCCGGTGACCAATCTCCTTACAAACAATTATGTAGAGAAATGGGTTGCAACGGTAAGTGACAGAGGCTTTCTAGAACATATAATGTGTTCTGCGGTATAGTATTCTTTTGCTTATGAAAGAATTCTTGTACAGATGAAAAAGGACGTCTTCCAGAAGGAGTGCAACTTGCGGAGGGGAGAAGTTTTGCGGAAACTCCGCATCGCCGTCGATGGGCTTATTGAGCGCTACAAGTTCCCCCCTGCAAGAAGGCGACCGGGTATACGAGCGCCACCCAAGGTGCAACGGAAGACCCCATCAGCGTCAAGGGGCGGCGACCGCGGTGGCCGGGGCAGCGGGGGAGAGGCAGAGGTAGAGGAAGAGGAAACACCACCCATACTCAGGATGAATTCCTTGCACCTGTCGATGATCCCTCTCAGGAGTCGGACCAGTGGGGTGGTTTCATCGAGCATCCCACCAACACAGTGAAACAAGTAGGTGTGCAAAATGGGGTGTCTACCTACTAGGCGCGCGCACGCGCACCCAAAGGGCCGAGTTGAACACCCTTAGTTCTTTTTAAACGTATCATCCATTTTCTTGGCAGCCTGATACATCTCCGCATGTCTACACTTGGACAATAAAGAAGGTGAACCCCGAGCCCCGTACCGTGGACCCTCCTCCAGTGATGACCATACAAGATGAAAGTAAGTTTTTGAATTGCAGTTTTACTTCTAATTTATGGTTAAGGAAGAGGTCATGCTTGAGTGAAAATATCAAAGGGGGTTACAATTAAAGAGGCTAAGCCATAACGTTAGGGTTTACCTGCTAGTCATGATTTACCTCTACATAATTTCAGAGACCTCAATATTGTGTTAAACTTTTCACTGAAATCTTACCCTGACTGATCTTATTGATATTACTAAAGAATGATTGTTCTTCCAGCAGGTAGTCTATCAGTTGACATGGAATGTCCTTCAGTAACTCCTCTAGCAGTGGTCACCATTGAAGATGAAAGTATGTTTTCAGTTGTATTTTGGCAGGCAGCCTTCCTTCCAAAATCTAGGCTTGTTTGAACTAATTTTAAAGGGGAAAAACATTTCTAGACTAAAAATTTTGTTGGGTGTTAAAACTTTTGGGAGCCAAAGATGTTGTTGTACATTTTTAGCCTAATATTTTTACCACATTTTTCTTTGCATTTTGAACCAACCCAAGTCTTACCGTTCAATAAACAGAACTTCGCTAGAACTAGTTAGAATAAATGTCTCCTTTCATTTCAGACCACAGCTTATCAACTGATGACGAAGTTATTATTTTGGAGTATTGTTCATATGGGACAGAAGGTAACTTCTCATATGACAATTTGTGCCACATTTAAAAGATTTTATGCAGCAGATGTACATGAGCTGGCAGAACCCCTCTCCCCACCATATGATGAGGCAAGGACAGAAGGTAAACTATCAAATGAAAATTTGTGCTAGATTCAACAGATTTTATGCAACATATTTCTTCTTTACAGATGTACATGAGTTGGCAGAACCTCTCTCCCCACTATCTAGGGATGAGTTCTGGCTGGTACCGCGGCGGGCAGTGATTGATCCTTGTTTTTGTGATTACAACTCGTTCTCGGACTTCGCCGAAGATCCATTCTTTCGGGAGCCTGCTATGGGTGCAGATGTAGTAGTAGACTTAGGCGATGTGCGTGTTTACAGGCTCGCTTCGTGTATGTACATGCCTGAGAACAGAAGTGTCAGGATGTGCGGCCTCCACTTCCTGTCATGTGAGTGGCGTCGTGGACTTGTCCCTGCGAGCCCGCCACTGTAAAATGTGTACTGACTTTTGCCACTTTATGTTGTGCAGGTGACCGTCAGGAGGTGATGGATTACTTTCACACGTGCCATACACTAGCCCTGAGCAGCGCGCACCCTGACACTGACGATCCGGACTTCATAAAGGATTGGCTTCAACGAGAGGTGAGGATTACTATATCACACAAAAAAATACCAGGTCGCACGTTTGGGATCACTCACCGGTAATCATTTGATTTTGTTTGCAGGACCAGGATGAAATTGCAAAGAGTCGGGCAGAAACAGCGGACATGTCAGAACGGATGGTATGGACCACCAACAGGTTGCGGTTCTGCGCCGGTCAAACTGTAGTGTACGTACCAGCGGACGACAGTCCCACCGAAATGCGGAGTGTGCCCACAGATGGCACTCCGGTCAAGTTCTACCCATCGACCATGTATTCGACGAAAGAAACAGCCAGAGTGCAGCTAAAATTCTGAGGTATGTGTTATCCTTTAGTACCTTTAGTGGCAAACAGAGCATATTTAACTTTTTTTCTCATGATGTTTATGTGTATCTTTTCAACTACTAATTATTCTCGTCGTTTCCTTTTCAGACAATGGTAGTGAGAAGAATTACTCTGGTAATGATAATGTGAATATATTTGCCAGGACCACGCTGTAGTAATGTTAATGTTCCCAGTTATTCATTTATGTCCGACTGATCTATCTAACTTCCGTTGTTTCTATATTTGTATTGTCTGACCTGCAAATAGAACAATAAAATTATGAATAGTGTACCTATTTCAATCTAAAGTATTTCCAATAACAATGCATTTATTAAGATGCATACATTCAGATTTGAAGTATCTTTATAAATTTCATGTCGGTGATTCAATTATTGCTACAAACAAGACTTAAAATAACCACGGATAAGATGTTAATGCTTTAACTCGACATGAAGCCGAGTGCACCGCAGCAGCAGCCGCAGGACCCTCGTGCCGTGTCACCGGGGTCTGGGTTAGCTTTCGGGTTCCCGCTCAGGGAGCGCTTTTCTAGGGTGCGTGCTCTGAGTGAAGGGGAATCGGCGTCGAGTGGGGAACATGAAGAGGTAAAAACATTGCAAGCACAGGTTGCGAATATGTCGCAAACGATGGAGGGTCTCCAGAGAGTGTTTGCGCACGAGGTGAGCCAGAGTGCAGTTCAGATGCAGCATTTTGCGCACCAAACTGCGATGATGAGTTTGGTTTTGGAACGGTTAGGTGTGTAAAATAATATTGAGCGATTTCTATCCATTATAGGACCTGATGTTGTATTACCTCCAAGCCAATGAAATATCAATTCCACTCGAACAGGTAACTTCATTTACAATATTTTCAAGTAATCTAGCATGGTTGCATATAACGTGTTGGCAGCTTTGTTCATTTCTGTTACCAATTGTACATTTTTCTGTTAGAAGGTTAAAATTTATTGCAAATGAAATTAATTTTAAAAAATATGGAGTTCACTTACCAAGTATTATTACTTTTACATATTTTAATGAAATCATTTTGACCTCTTTATCATTTTTAGAAATGCCCAAGTTCATTAGATAATCAAGTGGATTCTGCTTTCGCTCCTGTAAGTTTACAAAACTGTTTTTATAAAAATGTATGCACTATGCGCTCTTTCTTATGTAATGCTCTGATTATTTCAGGAACAAGTTTCTAACAGTGATACAACTCCCATGATTCCCCCTCAGAGAGATAGTGAAAGAAAGAGCAAGCGTAAGCGGATTTCTGACAGCTCTTGCACAGAACGAGTACAGGTATGTATTGCCCATTTCTTATCTAAGGGACAGTACAAATTGCAGAGTCCATATCAATCTTCTTTGCTACCTTGTGCAAATTTTAATATCTTGTGTTATTTTTCAGGTGGAAGTTCTGTCAAGCCCAAGAAGATCTGTGAGTGACGAAGCGGTTTCATACCACGATCAAGTCGCTGGGCCTGGGGAGAAAGGTGACTCAAAATTCGTCCACAATTTGACCATGGTTTTGTGGACAAAAGATAAAATTGCTGACAGGAATGTGTCAGGCAGAGCCTGTGTGAATAAAGATGATGCAATTGTACATAGAGCTTGCACCCCATACAAACTACAATTATTGCGAAATGTGCAGTGTTTTGTGTCAATTGTTTTTCAGGTTTCTTGAAATCAGATATTAATTTGTTTGTTTGTTCCAGATTTATTAGAGAAGCGTATCACCAATGAGGGAGCACCAGTTCAAGAGAAAGAGAAAAGGATGAAGAAATTTAACCAACTTTTGTCAGCCAAGATCAAACAAATCAGGCCAAAAGTTATGTCGACAGTACCGAAATAAGGATTGAATTTTCTGTCGCCTTCCGCGCACGAGTACGTCAGGGAATAGTTTGGAAAACATTTACCCCATGAGAAAACCATTGCAAAATGGCTATCTACGTACGATGGCCCTCTTGGATGGACACAGGAAGCCATTGACGCAGTTAAGAGGAAAGTTAAGGCGCCAGGTGAAGATAAGACACTGTTTGTGAACCTTGTCTGTGATAAGGTAAAACTGAAATCAGTGGTAGACAGAATTGAAAATAAGGTATTAGGATATAAATTTACGGGTTTTGAAGAGGAAGACAACTATGATGACGAAGGGAACAATTTGGTGACTGAGGCGTCGGTGTTTATGGCCGTTGGTGTGAACCAGGCTTGGAGGGTACCTTTTGGGTACTTCCTAATAAATGGCCTTGGTGCGGAGCAAAGGGTTAATATTATTACACAGGCTTTGCGAGTTTTCTCTGAAACGAATGCAGACGTGACCTCTCGTACGATGGCAACCTGGTCAATTTTAGCACAGCAGGGGCCTTAGGAGCCGAAGTTTTTAATTCGTCTAATCTGAAACCAATTTTTAATCACCCAGTCACTGGGTCAAACCAGTGTACATCTTCATGGACAACTGTCACATGGTGAAAAATGTACGTAACACTTGGCACGACCATGTATATGTGGATGAGATGGTGGTGTTGTTGAATATGTTTACGTCAAAGAGTTGGTCAAATATCAGAACTCTGAGGGGATACTCGCTGCCAATAAATTAAGGGTGAGTATTTCGAGAAAGAAAAAATTAAGGTATCGTTGGCAGTGCAAACTTAAGAGTGTTGCGGTTTTGCTTGACATTCTGTGCAGCTCACCTAAATCAAAACAGCCTCAGTTTGCCGGCGCTGAGGCCACAGTAAACTTCATTCGTATTATCGACCGGCTCTTTGATGTTGGAAATTCCTTGCTCAGCTGCTGTGAACCTCTTTACGCTCGTCTTACACTTCGTGCTAGAAAATTGTGGTCTCCGGACTTTAATTGCAGTAACAGTCGAAACCACGTTCTACGAGCCATGATTCCTGTTCAACGTATTCTCTAGGGATGAGTTTTGGCTCGTACAGCGGCGGGCCGGATCCATCCCGGTTTTTGTGATTACCAGACGCTTTTGGACTTCGCCAATGATCCGTTCATTCGCGAGCCTGCTTTGGCGGATCTGTAGTAGTTGATTTAGGCAACGAAGGGGTTCACAGGCTCGCGTCATGTACTTGCCGAAGACAAAAAGTGTGACGACGTGCAGCCTCCTCTTCTGGTCATGTGACTGCACCTTGCGGAGTTTTCCCTGTGAGCCCGCCACTCTAAACTGTGTTCTGGTTATTGCCCTTTTTTAGCCCACCCTTCTGCTTTTAAAAAAGCATTGAAGCGGGCTTATGCAACCGCTCTCGTGTCCGTCTGTCTGTCTGTCCGTCGTCCGTGTAAGAGGAAGGAGATGACCTAGAGGTCTGCAAATTTCAGGGTATCTTAGGGTTGTTGTTGCTTGCTTGTTGTTGTATAGCTGAGCGCCAGGAGGTAATAGACTACTTCCACACAAGCCTTACCCTCGCCTTGAGTACTCTGAAAACTCAACAGTTCACATTGTATACTGAAACATTAGCAATCATTGATGATTTCTGATATATCCGAGGGGGCCACCACACCGATTGAGGATGTACACAGGATTACGTCATTACAGGGATTACACGTGAATTTTGAGTGATCACACGTGACTTTTGATGAATTTCAGGCTCTAAAACCATCAAATTTGGACAATAAGGTGATATTTTGTGGTAATGTTTTAAAATTTGGTCAAGGATTACACGGAATTAATAAGGATTATGTAGGGATTACACCCTCATCTGTACACAGGATTACGCGAGTGGTGGCCCCCTCGGATATATCAGTGTACGTGAAATGCTTGCTGATATATCAGCATTCATCAATGATCACGTTTAGGTTTTTGGCTAATATTTCTTTTCAGACGGATATCATCGGAGAGTGGATAGCATTTTCAGATTCCTCGTGAAAAAAAAAAAGGTTTCAAACGAGCTACTATGTAATATGGGGTTCAAATAGGGTATTCCAGGCTATTCAAAACGGAAGTAGGAAAAGAACAAACTCACTGACTTTTCTGTTTCCGTGAAGGCTCTGATTGGTTGAGCTGATCACGTGTCACGACGGCGTTTCAGGTATGAAAAACTGTCAGGTCAGTTTCGAGCTCGCCTCCATATTTGAGAGGTTAGAATCGGACCAAACTACCATGGCAATTTCTCATACTGAGCAGACGGAAACAGATTAATCGGTGAGTTTGTTCTTTTTCACTTCCGTTCTAGATAGCCTGGAACACCCTATTGGCCGCTACCATAACTTGGTTTGCATTACCGACATTCTCGAGAGGCGGACCATTTCGGTAGTGAACCCTTGGCGATGCTCTCGGCTTCAGAGGCAGGTGCGCTCTGGCAAGAAGCCGTCAAAGCTGAGAAAAGAGAAGGTATGGGACCGCGGAACTAAGCTATGCATTCGAGAGGGACTCGCAGGATCAATCTGCTTGCGCGCCTCTTCACAGATACACCACTTCTGCAGGCATACGTCGAAGAAAAGAAGTTTAGGGATAACAGGGCCGATTTGTGAGTGATTTCTTGTCTAAAACATATCACATTTCCTCTAAAAAATCATTTTGAACATTTAAGAGTTGTGAAATGCTGTGTCAGAAGGCCCATTAAGTCCCCAAAAATATATTTGCTTCTTCCTTCTCTTCTTCCTTATCGGCTTAGCGGAATGGTCTATTGGAGTGAGAGGAAGCGAGTGAGGGCCCGGTGCAAGCTTCTGACCCCCACTACCGCTTTCGGACGCAATGTATACATTAAATCTGAAAGGACATTTATTGTCCACATAAAGACGCGTTTTTATGCACATCTCAACCGGATTCACATTTGATTCCAGCAAGTGACGAATTAAGGGCATTTGAGTGCAATTGATTTTTTGCCCATCATTAAGATGCAAATTCCTTACTTGCTAGATTCAAATCTGCACCTGGTTGAAATGTGCACAAAAACGCGTCTCTCTATAGACAATAAGAGTACTTTCAGATTTAGTGTGTAGGCAATAGGCATGCGATACTCGCTCGCTGCAGGGCTCTGAAGTGCGGTGCTACACATAGTTTCAAATGTTGTCTTCAAACCATTTAAAGCGATGTGGCAATAGGGTATTTCAATGGAGCGCTGCCCGGAACCAAGAAGAACAAAAACGGATACAGAGAGCGGTGGTGGGGGCGGGCGCGCGGAGGAGCGGATGGCGGGCGGGGAGGCTCCCCTCCACCCGCCGCTCCTCCGCGCGCCCGCCCCCACCACCGCTCTCTGTATCCGCTTTTGTTCTTCTTAGTTCCGGGCAGCACTCCATTGAAATACCCTATAAAGCATTCCGAACTACATCGTGGCATTCCGGTAAAGTTGAAATGCCGAAGAAGA